ACTTGAGGATGCCAGTCGGAGGTAATCCAAGGTGTAAGAAGTTTTGGGCTCCGGTTGTTAGTAAACTTCGCCAAAAGCTTGCCGTCTGGAAGTTTGCCTTGCTGTCCTTCGGGAGGCGTCTCACGTTGCTAAACTCGGTACTCTCTGCACTTCCTACTTTTTTTATGTCCTTATTTTATATGCCAAATTCTGTGCTTGCTCAATTAGTCAAGATTCGAAGGGATTTTTTGTGGGGGGGTTCTAGGTAGAAAAGAAAGATCTCGTGGGTAAAATGGGAAGCTATTTGTTGGAGCAAGGAGTAAGGAGGGTTAGGGGTTCCGGATCTGCGTCGGAGAAATTGGGCGCTATTAGGGAAATGGTGGTATAGGTTAGGGGATGGAAGGGAGGGGTTGTGGAAAAGGGTAGTGAAAGAGGAATTTTACGAGGGTAAGCAAGATGTGGGTATTTTAGATGTGGCGAATTTAAGGGTGTCGCAGATTTGGGGAGACATTATTAGAATAGGTGGGAAATCAGAGAAGATAAAAAGTATGTTAAGGAATAGGTTTCGGTGGGAGGTGGGGGAGGGTTGTTGGGTGTGCTTTTGGAGAGATATTTGGGTGGGGAATAAATCTCTGCGAGATTTATTTCCAAGGCTTTTTCAATTAGCTATCAACAAGGAAGGTTCGGTAAAGGAGAATGGTACATGGGAAGGGGAAAGGTGGAAATGGGGCATAGAGTGGAGGAGAGAGAGGATGGATCGCGAAAAAGATGAGGAGAAAGGGTTGGGGGTGATGTTGGCAAGTATAAAGTTAAGGAAGGGAGTGGCAGATTTATGGCAGTGGAGGTATGATGTAGAAAGGAGGTATGTAGTAAAGACAACATATGAATTTTTAGCTCCTGAGGACCGCTTGCTTGAGGGACAATTATGCAAAGTTATATGGTGTAAGATGGTGCCTTCAAAAGTGGGGTTTTTTGGATGGAGGTTGTATCTAGATAGACTTCCCACAAGGTGGAATTTGCGGAAGAGAGGGGTGGTTTTACAAGGGGACGGTATGGTGTGTGGGCTTTGCAAAGAGGGTGTGGAGGATGTTAATCATTTGTTTTGCACATGTAAAGTAGCTTGGTTAGGATGGGTGAAGGTGTTTAAGTGGTGGGGTGTGGAAGTAGTAATGCCGGATACAGTGAGGGGTGTGGTGGATTTATTCCTGTGGTGTGTGGGTAGTGTGGGGGGTAAGGAGTTGGGAGCATGCCTTTTTTTTGTCACTTCTTGGTATTTATGGTTCTGGAGGAATATTTTGGTATTTAGGAGCAATGGGGAGCTTAAAGAGCAATTGCTGGAGTTAATTAAAGTTAAGTCTTATTTCTGGATTAGAAATAAGGTAAATGGGTGTGTCTTCCCATGAGCTCAGTGGCAAAGTAATCCTAGGGAATGTGCAAAGGAACTGAAGAGTTACAAGAGATCTCTCAAATTGTTCACTAAGCAACAGCAACATCATTTTCACAATTAATGTGCATTGGCTGTATGGACCCATACACGGAAGGATGTTCACGGGAGTGACAAACTGGAAGTTTGTTCTTCTTTAGTTGATTTCTTGGGTTGTCAGCCTGTTTTGTGCGGGAGTTCCTTTTCTGATTTTGTTGGGAGAATAAGCTTTTTCACTCTCTGTAGAAGGGCAGGAGCACTCCTTGTGCTCCATTTAATAAAATTTTGTTTTGCTGATAAAAAAAAAAAATTTAGTTATGTTTGCTTATAAATGAATAAACAAACCTGGATTCGGGAAGGGCTGGCAACAGTAACTTGGTAGAAGCTCTCATATTTGATGCTTTAGAGCGAAGGTTCTTGAGCTTATCAATAGCACGTTCCAACCATAAACTCTTACGATACTCAGAATTTAGCATGTCGGGTCGAATGACCAGCAGATACATCATGTAATCTGATAAATATTTGCTTCTCTTCATGGCTTGATTAGGAGCATTATTGGGATGACAATCACCACACTCTTGATGGTAACAAATACTGGTGGCCAGGTGCCAGGCTATGATGCTAGTATCAAAGTCCAGTTTGACGCTTTGTTAGAGTATATCATCAGACATTCCACAGTTACAGTACAGTTCCTCAAGCGTCTTCTCCCCTCTTGTTGCTTCAAAGAATTGATGATCATACGAATAGAAAGAATCTAGCCAATTTTGGTAAAATTCTTTGGGCTTTAAACAATCTGGAACATCCTCAAACTTGGTATACTTGAACTTA